AAAGTCACGGCCATTTCTGAAGAAAGACACATTCAGCAGGAAAAGCTTAAGTCCATTGGAGGGAAGGAACTGGGCCGGGCCTGCACTGCAGGGACCCCTGGGGGTTTAGCCATGATCGCTGCTGCGTTTGCAAAAGCACTTGCCAGCGAGGGCTGCTGGCTTTTGTGCTGGAAACCAGGTACCTGCTGAGGCCAAGAAAAGATCCCCAGGAAACGCCTGTCTTCTTTGCAAAGAGACATGTTTTCCGTGTCTTTTTGGACTCTCAGTACATGGCCGATGCCTTTGTCACCCGCGCTATAAAGAAACATTATTTTCTGTGTTCCTGTTGCATTTGGAGCCAGGGACCGGCGATGCTTCGCCTTCTTAGAGGGAAATGAAAGACTGCCTTTAATTTAGAGAGAAATAAAAGACCGCCTCTCCCTTCAGGTGTGCTGACGGACTTGGAAGTTGACCCTGCTGTTTCACCCAACAATACAGTTACTTCTAATTTGATTTGGACACAAGAAAAATCTCCCTTCTGCTGTACCATTGGCGAATGCTGACCCCCGTCTGGGGGCACTGAACTAATGTCAGGGAGACCAGCGCCGTGAAAGGGAGCTCCATCCTCTCACTCAGAGAAGCCGAGGGCAGCGGGCAGGGAGCCTGAGCCGGGCGGGGGGACTGGAGCTGGCCTTCGTCACCTCCCAAGGACCGGGAGCAGGCCTGAAGGCCCCCACTGAGTTTCAGAGCATCAGGCAATCCATATGAAGGTCTTCGTCCACCCCTCCTCCCCCCCGCCCCCCGAATCTCCCCTTTCCCCTGCTGGCTTCCGGGCACCCATGATGAACTGTCTTGTCCAAGATTGCTGGAACCCCAACGTTCATGGTTGGGACCCCCATCCACGGGCTGAAAGGCTCATGGACACTCGCAGGCCCCCCTGAGCTCCTCTTCATCCAGACTCGATGATGCCTTCGAGGCTTTGCTCCTAGTGGAGCAGCCCCGGTGACGGTGACATTCATGGCGCTCGCTGTGTCCCCTGCAGTGCTTTAGACGTATGTCCCTCTGTCCCCCAACAGCTCCGCCAGATGCAAGCGCTCTGAGTGGGTGCAGAGAAGGGACAGCTTAGGATGGGGAGGTTCTAGAACTTGCTCAACGGGACACAGAGTCAGAGGCAAAGCCAGGATCACAACCCTTTGCTGTACGAGAGAGAATGACAGCAAGGCAGACCAGGAAGGTTCCGGGTTCCTTTCACCACCAGGGCTTGTGGGAGAGCCTAGGGCCTCCGGACAGGAAACTCCCATTTCCGTCTGAATTTACGTGCTTTAACCCAATCTCCTCGAGTTGGGTACCGTCCGGAAGGCTCAGGCTTTGAACCGGCTCTATATCTTCCATAGCAGCTCTCACGGTGGATGGGTCCCAGCCAATGGCTGATAAGTACTTGGTTACTTATGTTTTCTTTTTTGAAAAAATATATTTTTGTTGATTTCAGAGAGGAATGGAGAAAGAGATAGATAGAAACATCAATGATGAGTCATTGATTGGCTGTCTCCTGCACACCCCCCCACTGGGGATCGAGCTCCCCAACCTGGGCCTGTGCCCTGACCGGGAATCGAACTGTGGCCTCCTGGTTCATAGGTCGATGCTCAACCACTGAGCCACGCCAGCCAGGTGGTTATTTATTAATAAGTCCCTCAACCCAGGGTCTCTCGTTCCGCCCTGCTCCTTCTTACCCCGTTTCTCCTTCAATGATTCCTTACTCGATGTGCAGTTAGAATGATATTCATATTAGGACAGAAGATAATATGCCAGGATCGTGTGCAGAGAGAAGGCGCTTGTCAAATGCACAGACTAACGCGAGGCTGGCTGCCCGTGACAATGAACCCCACGCCAGCCGGCGGCTGGTGGCCGTCACACTTCCCTCACACTCTCCTCGCTCCTTACAGGGTCTGGCTCCTTCGCATTGTCACATTTCGAGGTGACACGGCTGGGGCTGCAGGCGTAGGAACGCCTCTGGTGCTCGGTGCCCACCGTAAACCTCGGTGTTCACCGTAAACCTCAGCCTCACTTCTCCCAGGGCAGCATGACTGGGGTCCACCTGGTACCCCTCCTCCTCCGTCGCATCCTCTGCAGGAAAAACGACCCCATTCCACGCAACTCGAGAGTCTCCCTCCATGGGAGTCTCTTTTTGGTGTAAGAGGAGGAGTCTGGACTGTGCTGAAAAGCAGCACCTAGCATGAACTTGCTAAGAATAGCCCAATAACCCCGCGGAAAGGCTTCCGAGTTACACAAAAAGAAAAAGAAAAAGCAAAAGAAAAAGAGGCAGCTGCAGGCGGGTCTGACATCCCAATCCCCAGGGTGTCCACAGTCGCCACCACTAGGTCCCAGGAGGCCGCGATGGATGGGAGCTGTCCAGGTCACTCCCGGGGAACTGCTTTACGTCCACATGCAGAACCTGGTCTAGCTGTTGGTTTGTTAAGGGGTCACCATAACTCAAGACCCGGCTAGCAGGCAGGGGTTTGAGTATTACGGGGTAATTTCCAAGATTTAAGATGGCCCTAAAATTGATGAAGAAGTGCTGCTAAGGTTAGGGAGAATTTAATGGGTAGAAGCTCAGTGTAACAGCTTTATATTCCTGTTTGGAAGCTGGGAAACTCGAAGGCGCTGATTTTAGAGACAAAACCTTAAATTTTGCAGTTACAGATCGCAATTACAACGTGAAATAACCAGAAACTGTGATGCAGCAAGTACCAGAGCCCATTCATTTTTAAGTCATTCTTTCAGGAAGCAGCTCTGACTTGCACTTATCCTGTCCTGTGTGTGTAACTGGATCACTTTCTTAAGTTCGTTGATACAGTCTCCACCATTTTCAATGAAACTTTGAGGGCAGGGATCATCACTTATGGTTTTATCTCACTTCATGCTCTGTGTGATAGAAACTGGGCTGAGTAACATATTATTTAATTCTCGCAGATTAAATGAGGTGGGTCCAATTCTTATTTTCACTTTACCTGAGCAAATTAAGGCTACGTAAGGGGAACCACGGTACAGGACTGTATTTGTTGCACACTATTTGGTTGAGTCTATAAGGATTAAGGTACATGACATAGGTTGCAAATATTATATTTTGCTCCATTATCTTGAATTTTCTGTCATTGTCCATAATGTTCTTACTTTTTATCCCAAGATTCCAAAATGAACAGGTGTTCATGTTTTTTAATAACCCCATTTATTTCTAAAAATATAATTGAATATAAACAGTTTTTTTGGAGCGAGAGGAGGATAAAGCTATGAACAGGAATAAAGCGGCCATATTTGTATCTTTATACATTTGCCTTCCCTCTCTCTTAGAAAATGTCTTATCAAGACAAGTGTGCAATGAGGAAGTGGATTTTAAAATATGGTAATTGGGCACCTGGTAAAATATATTTCGCAGCAATGCTAATCATGTGTTTCAAGATAAAAGGAAATTAAGGAGGCTTAAGTTTTCAGTTCTCTTCAGAAAAATCAATTACAAAGCAGTTACGCTGCTGACACTAAACAACAAATCCTAGGACTTAGTTAATAAAAAAGCTTCCACTTTTTGAAGGTTTGTTTTTCCATCCAACAGAAGAGACGGGCAGCATTGATTTTTTTGAGGAAGAAAAGGGCTGTTTACATCGGGTAGCTTGAAATCCAGACGGATTCTTGATCTTAGCCTGTTTGGCTCAGAAATGGCTCCCCATCCAGGGAATACATCTTCATAACGCTGTCCCTGGCCTGCAGTGCTCCAGGCCTTGGCTGGGTGCTCCCCCCACCCCCCACCCCCACCTCTGACTCAAACTAGGGGAGCCACGCTGGAGCTCGGCTGGCATCTCACTTGGGGTTCAGAATATCAGGACTCACATTCACAGTTGGATGAAAACTCTCTGATGATGTACAATGTGGTCCTCAATTTTGGTTGCGTATCATCATTGCCTGGGAGTTTTTGTTGTTGTTAATCCTCACCTGAGGATATTTTTAAAAAATATGTTTTTATTGATTTTAGAGAGAGAGGAAGGGAGAGGGATAGAGAGAGGGAAACATTGATGAGAAACATCCATTGGCTGCCTCCTTCACACCCCACACTGGGGATCGAGCCCGAGACCCCAGGCATGTGCCCTGACCAGGAATCAAACTGTGACCTCCTGGTTCATGGGTCGATGCTCAACCACTGAGCCACACCAGCCAGGCCTGAGGATATTTTTTCCATTGAATTTTAGAGATAGTGGAAGGGAGGGAGAGAAAGAGAGAGAGAGAAACATTGATGTGAGACAGACTCATGGATTGCTTGCCTCCTACACATGCCCTGACCAGGGCCAGGGATTAAATCTGTAAGTCAGGTACACGCCCTTGACCAGGAATCGAACCCGAGACCCTTTGGTCCTCGGGCTGACACTCTAACCTCTGAGGAACACCGGTTGGGCTCCTGGGGAGGTTTATACGATGCAGATGCTGGGCCCGCCCTCAGAGAACTGACAGGAGTGAGCTGGAGCAGGCACACCGATAACTATTCCATTTCACTCTCAGCTAACCTTTCCCTGAGATGCCCAGTCTCATCATTGCTGCCTTTGGATGATCAGAAACTGCTGTCATCCTCTCTCCCTTTTGTCCCCATGACACCAACGACACGAAGGTGAAAGCCACCGCGGAAGAAGTCTCCCGACAAGCGCAGTGCCTGCTGCGCATCGCCTTTCAAACGAGCGATTAATAATTCATAACAATTAACTGAGTTATGAGTTCCTCTCTCAATACGTTCGCAAACATGAATAGATTAAATGGTAATTGCCATCAAAGTTTATGTTCCATTTCATGTCCCCAATAAAAGTTTATCTTGTGGAACTCACTTTGTATTTCCTTTTGATATATTCATAACCGAGTGCAATGTTCTATATTAAAATATTTATTATTAACCTATCAAATATTAACCACTTTTAAATTATAGGGATGAAAGAAAACAAATAGGCAACTTGTTTAAGTTTGCACGATTCTCCTTCTTTTAATAGGATGTGGATTGGTAGACCATGTGCCAGCAAAAAACGGAAAATGGACGGTGTGGGAAGCGATATGAGATCCTGCCCCTTCCAGAAATTTTTACGAGGTACGTGTATGCTCTGGGCCTCCCACCACCGTTATTTTAACACGAAGTGATAAAGACAAACGCAACCCGTGAGCTTTCCATCAGCCCATCCCAGGAATCACCTGGGGGTCTTGTTAACACGCAGATCAGGCTGGGCTGGGGCAGGGGTTCGGCATTGCAACCCATGTCCAGGTGGTGCTGATGGCCTGAGCCCACGGGGAAGCTGCACTAGAGGAGGGTGTGCAGGTTACTTAGCCGCTCTCAGCCTTGGCTCCTTGACCTGTAAAGTGGGGATAACTGCTGAAAGGTTTGATGCAGGTTCAACAAGGCCATGTGGATGGCGAGCCGCAATTCCTGGCGCGCAGTAGGACTTCGGTATTTTTCAAACAAGTGATAGTGTGAATCCTAAATGAGCAAATGGGTGAATGAATGACTGCATGTGCAAATGAATGAATCAGGCAACTCTATAGCCAGCCTCATTTGCTAGGGAGATTGAATTCAAAAGATTCAGTAAGACGCTTTTAAGAAGCCCTTCGAACACCTGATTAAATTGAATTTAGGACCAAAGATGAAATGAAGGGCATACATCTCCTACTGAGTATGGTGTGATCTGACCTCAGTTGTTGTAAATGGAGGAACTCAATGGACATGATTGATCGATTCAGTCATGTTTGATTAGATGCACCTGCCAATAGGTGACTCACAAACTCCCCCCTCCTACGACTCTGGACAGTCTTCATAACTTCAGAAATTTCCAGACCTGATAAAACCAGATAGAAGTTATATGTCACCTCTATAGGCGGTTTAGCATCCTGGGTGCAAAATCAGCAACTTTATTTCTTCTTTTAATTAGAAAGAAAGGGAGTGCAATATCTCAGGAGAAACCTTATAATACATCCAAATACCTTCTAAGTGGAAACTAGTGAAGATGAGTCAGCAGGGTCGTTGAAAATGCTGTGATTGCCATTCATCCCCAAGAAATTGCCAAATTATCCTGGTAACAGGCCCACCTGTAAACTCCCAGACTTTGTCTTTTTGCACTTAAAATCTGTGTGGACAGTGCAGTTGTCCATAGTATAGATTTTCATGATAAAGAATACAGATTAACAAGACTGAGTCCATAGCGTCAATAATACTAATTAAAAAAGGTCTTGCTGTGATTCCTAAAAATAATTACATCAATATTTCATCATTTGGTAGTGTTTTGTCTCTGAGACATATGCCCGTTTCCCTAAAGGCGCTGTAGCTCAGAAGAAATAACTACACCACATGATATTAATCCTACGATGGGAAGGAATATCGTTAAAAATGCATCTTAGCAATGATTTCTGTTCTAAAAGATCCAGCCATGTCTGGATGAACTCAACTGATAGCTACAGTGATGAGTTGGGATTGAGGTTGGACGCAGAGCAGATGAACTGCGTGAATTTCTGTGTATGTGCCTGTTTCAGATGAAATCCAATTTTAATGAATTCACACCAGTTGCTGAGTATTTAATGCCAGCCTCTTCTCCCCACTGGCAGCGATGGATAACTGAAGGTTAACTATCCTTTTTTAAAAAATAGAGAACTTGCCCAATTGGCGTGGCTCAGTGATTGACCTATGAACCAGGAGGTCACAGTTCGATTCCTTGTCAGGGCACATGCCCGGGTTGTGGGCTCGATCCCAGTAGGGGGTGTGCAGGAGGCAGCTGGTCAGTGATTCTCTCTCATCATTGATGCTTCTAACTCTCTCTCCCTTCTCCCTTCCTCTCTGAAATCAATAAAAAAATATTTTTAAAAAATAGAGAAGTCGACAAAGATGGGACGGAAAGCAGATGCCACTTACGTAGAGCTGGGCCATGACATTCTATTCCTGTCGGGCAGAGCCACACGACCCAGAATTTCCGGGGTTCAAATAGGCTTAGTTGCACTCAAAAGGGCATCGGGACAGAAAAGACATGGGTTCAAAGCCCGGGCCTGCCCCTGATTCAGAATAATTACCTCTGATATCAAAGGCGAGGGTCAGAAATACATTCTCAACAGGGTCCGTTTTTCCCCTGTGCCCTCGGCGTGGCCGCCTGATGTTACTGTAATTCTCTCTCTGTAGAGCTTTTTGCTGATATTCGAGGTGACAGGCTGTTCTGCTCACGGAGACGGATGACTCCTCACCAGCCTGAGCAACCGGACTGCATGTGGCAGCCTCACGGCTCTTCCATTAGCGGCTGATTGTCCCAAATTGATGTAAATTGACTTGGCCGGCTCGGGCGCCTTTAAATGGTTGGCACCGACTATGGTCTCGCCCTGGAAATTATACGGTCAAAGCCTCCATGTTTCTGGAAATCCTAACTCTTTTCTTAATGTGAATGAGGGCCTGGTACATAGGAATTAGTTAGACACATGCCCTGTGGTACCCAGGGCCAGACAGGGCACGCTTCAACGAAATGGATGGTTTTTGTTTAAATTTTTTTTTAATATATTTTCATTGATTTCAGGGAGGAAGGGAGAGGGAGAGAGAGATAGAAACATCAATGATGAGAGAGAATCAACCCAGGCATGTGCCCAGATCTGGAACTGAACCGTGACCTCTTGGTTCATAGGCTGATACTCGACCACTGAGTCACGCTGGCGGGACTAAAATATATTTGTTTTTTTAAATGTTCTCTTCTGCCTCCTGCTTCTCATCCTCTCCCCTTTACTGAAAGGTCCTGTTTCTTCATTTCTAACTGCTGTGTGAGTTTGAAATAAATCAGGCTATGACATGCAGGCCAATCCCAGCCTTTCTACATTTTTAAGTGACTGAAACAAAATCTAAAGAAAAAGAAGATTTCATGGCACGCGAAAATTGGATGAAACTCAAATTTTCAAAAGATGTTACTGGAACACAGACCACACCTGTCCATTCTTATGTCGTCCACGGGTTCAGGCCCAGCAGCTGACAGAGGTGAGCAGCCGGGACAGAGATTACATGGTCCACGGAGCCTCAGATAATCGTATCTGTCCCTTCACAGGAGAAGCTTGCCCGCCCCTGGGATCAATCACCAAAGCCTCTGTCGCCATCAGCAAAGCGGAACCGACAGCATCCTGTAACCTGCCACCGTGAGCTCCACGAGCCATTAATACTCACTGATGCTCGTTCGCCACTTCTCCCTACTGGAGCTGGGGCTACCCAATTGAAACCTCCGGTTTTCCACCTATAGAGCGAGGAGAATAATCATACCTCGCTTGGGAAATAAGATGGTGCATTTATTTACATTCCTGACACAATGGCAAATGCACCATAAAGAACTGTTTATGGTTTGAAAAATATTATTCCTCAGAAATGTGTTCATATGCACACAGGTCAGATCATTGGTATCTATTTTTAAAGACGTGGAGTCTACCTTCAGTTGTCCATTCCTGCAGGGCCCCTACCTGCATGAACACCCAGCCATGGAGGTGAACTGCACCCAGTGGATTTCCTCTGAAACAGGCACGTACACAGAATTCAGACCGACAAGGAGCCTTAGCACGTCAGGCCCCGCCTGGGGTTTCCTGGGAGGAGGTGCAGAGAGAAGACCAACCAAGGGCCACAGTCCTTGGGAAGGCGGTAGCCGCCACCCCGGAAACAGGGGCCCCGGCTTCACTAGACTTTAGTTCCCAGGTGCCTTCCCATCAGGCTCACCTGAGGCTCCTCTACCCCAGAATCCTGCTGTGATGGCGGCGGAGGCCTGGCCCTTCCCTGGATTCAAAATTCTCCTACAAGTTTCAAGTGCCTGGCCCTTTAGCAGTTGAGCTGGTTTGCATACTTAGACATTATATATGCCATTAGAAGAGTCTGAGACTCTCTCTCTCTCTTTCATACACACACACACACACCCTTACTAGCAGGTAAGGAATGGCTCCAGGGCACCTCCACTCATGCTCTGCCTCAAGGAAGGAAGGAACGTCAGGTGTTGGATGTCCACGTGGCCTCCTGATGGTCTGACCCTCAGCGAGTCCTCCCTGCTGCTTCCGCTCTGGGCCAATAGCAGGTAGAGCTCCGCCTGTGTTTCTCCACGAGCTCTGGCATCTCACACACCTTTCCCTGTTAAGCGTGGAGGGTCCTGTGGTGTGAAATGGTAGATTCGGGCGTATTTGTCCTTCTCAATATTCCCCCCTAGTAAACGGGGAAATTAACCCGGACTGCCAAGCACCTACGGAGAGGTGCCCCCAGGGTCGGAGCCCAGGCTCCCTCTGGGTCTGTCCTAGTCACAGCATCAGCGGTTCAGAGCCTGGGGTTTTGAACATTCAGGATCTGGTCCTACTGTGCGGGGTGCTCTGAACAACTCTCTCCTCTCGAGCTGCCCCAGCAGCCTCTGCTTCCTGTGGCTCCTCCAGGTGGGCCATGAAGATGGGAAGCGTTGAAGCCCCTTTCACAGCCTCCATGTAAGCCCACCGGCTCCCGGGGCATCGGGTCGGGGAAGCATTAGAGGTCGTGGGCTTCTGCTCTCGATCCCAAATTAAAGTGGCGTTAAGAACAGAGGGAAGCCGGCCGGCGTGGCTCAGTGGCTGAATGTCCATCTATGAACCAGGAGATCATGGTTTGATTCCCGGTCGGGGCACATGCCCGGGTTGTGGGCTCAATCCCCAGTGGGAGGCCTGCAGGAGGCAGCCCATCCATGATTCTCTCTCATCATTGATGTTTCTAGCTCTCCCTCTCCCTTCCTCTCTGAAATCAATAAAAATAATAAAAAAAGAATGTCACTACCCAAGGGACAGCTTTTAGCATGACAGAGGGGTGTGGCCTCATCCTGACAAATCAGGAGGAATTTCACAGCGGGAGCCAGCCTGGGGTTCCCTCTTCCAGGTCATCAAATGAGCCTCTCCTCCCCTCCCCCCTCCTTCCACCCCCAGGAGGACTACCCAGCCTGTGTGGTGCCTACAAATGACCACTTCCTACCTTCGGCCTCCCTAATATTTTCCTTCCCCTGGAGGCTCCCGTGGGTCTGTTTAGAGAGCACCTCCTCCCCTAGGAGCCGAGCCACAGTGACTCAGCGCCCTTCCCAGCACTCCCTGTTGGGG